GCAATAAAGGGTAAAAAAAAGAAAAGAAAAACAAATCTGAAAAACTTCAGACTTTTAATGTTGCACTACAGAGTTTTTTTAACGTTGCTTATGCTCTCATTGAGATTGCAGTTTATCTGTGTGCTCTTGGACTTCCCCGACGCAGTCTTCTTTTTGGTATTTTTAAGGGGAGTCATACACCTTAAAACCCATAAGATCTTCGAATATGGTGACTGTTGCAAGAATTGGGATAATTTATTTATTTTAAAAGAAATTACTTCCACATTTTTACAGCTGACTACATAATATAGCTGCTTTCTGAAATAGTAATTCGAAAGTTTGTGTTGCCACAAATATTTTTGCAATTTAATCCGCTTTGTGACAAAATGTTTCGTTAAGTTTCCACCTTGCGCGCACAGTTTAAAACATTCTGTTGCATAATTTAATTTCATATTTAATATATAGCTTTTATAACATTTGCAACCTACTGTGAACCAAAAATTCTAAGAATTTCATGTTAATATTTTATTTTATTTGGGGTTAAGTTTATAAGATGTGTTTTATTAAAACAATCTGTAATATTTTCGTGCATAAAATTTTTTAATACTACAATATTGATCAAAATTTTGGTTCAGTTAGAAAATAATGCCCATATAAAGAATTCCATTAAATTTTAAGTATGTACCACTAGCCATTCTTAAAATATCATGCGCGCAAGGTGGAAACATGACGAAAACTTTTGTCACAAAGCGGATTAAATTACAAAAAATATTTGTGTCAACACAAACTTTCTGGTTGCTAGTTTCTAAAGCAGCTATATTATGTAGTCAGCTGTAAAAAGTTGGAAGTAATTGCTTTTAAAATAAATAAATTATCCCAATTCTTGCAACAGTCACATGTTCGAAGATCATAAGGGGTTTAAGGAGTATGAGCCCTCTTAAATTTATTATTATGCGTAATTTGCATTTACGCCATATTAAAGTCAGCAGCAAAAACCCAAATTTTTCAAAAAACAACATAACTTTTGTATTTTCGATAGAGTGCTATGTGTAGCCATACATACTTTAGCCCAAAAGGGCTATTATTTTAGCACCTTTGAAAATTTTGTAAATTTTGAAAAGAATCACGTTGTCTATTTCGCTTTTCAAATAACTAGCTGTCTAAAATAATTGACGTTAAAAAGACACATAGTGGTTTAATAAATCCAGCTAGCATTATTTCGACAATTAAGCTAATTAATAAAAGAAACAAAGAACAGCATTTTTTGCTTTTAAATAGCTTAATTTGTCTATTCAATAACAAGCAGATTGAATTTAAAGAAACAATTAAATATCTTACTTATTGCTAAATGGCAACGAACTGGAGCGGGAAAGTTAAAAAGATTTTGTATCGGGTATCTTAAGAATCCCTCATAAAATATAAATGACGCATAAATAACACATATAAATGAGAAACATATAAAACGCGATTCGTTGTGTTGATAAATACTAATAATTTTCATCCGTAAATTGTTACAGGTTTTGGAAGCCATTATCACATGAAAAGTAGTCTTTATATCACAACATTTTAGAGATTGTGGAGTCTTCTTTGCATAAGTAAAAGGCTAAATCCATTATTGTTTAAGACTTGCTATCTAATGAAACACAGCGGTCTCTCATTCATGTTTCTCTGCTTAAATTACCAGCTGAGAATATTTGCTTAAAAATTATTTAGATAATTTATTAAATTTAGATATCCGAGTGGCAACAATAAACTATCGGCGACATACACTTTAGCCGCTTATATATATAAAGAAAAGATGTATGCTCTCATTTTGGAATCTCTTTTTCAGTTTAGATATGTCAGTATCTATGTTCATTAATGATCATCTTTGTACTTTGAAGTCACATTTATTTAGATAATTTTTGGTTAAAACGTCATTTATCTCTGTATGCGTGGAAAATTTTTTAATTAGTTGATGCAATCAATTCTTTCAAAGCGTTTCGTATTTTATTTAATTTAGGTAGAAGCTATAGAGTTTATGAGTAATTAAATTCAAAACAATTTCTTGATAAATACGTAATTACATTCTAGGGTTTAGATTTGTGACTTCAAAGTACATAGATGATCATTAATGAACATAGATACTGACATATCTAAACTGAAAAATAGATTCCAAAATGAGAGCATACATCTTTTCTTTATATACATAAGCGGCTAAAGTGTATGTCGCTGATAGTTTATTGTTGCCACTCGGAAAAATGAGAGTGGAAATTAACGTTTCCGCAGTTTTTAATTAATATCTCGGCCGATTAAAGTCGTACGAAGATGAGAACGGTATCGATGGATTCGGAGAATTTTTAGGAATCCGAGGATACGCGTCTCGAATTTCAACTCGGCGCCGTTCCGTAGATATTCGAGAAAAATGAATTTGCCACGTAGCCAAATCCCTGTAATAGGGAAAACCCAAGAAAGAAAGTGGAAAATGTAGAGAAAACGTAGGGAAAAATTAGTTATTTTTTAATATCTCGGTTAATTAAAGTCCCAAGAAGACGCGAATGGTCAAAATGGCGTGCCACGAACCTGCGGAATCCAACGGAATGCGGCTTAAGTGTCTGTTTGTCGCCGATATTTTATTGGTTGCTTGAGTAAATGTACTAGCCAATGGGGTGAAGTTGCCACAACACGTTGCCTTTTCAATTGAGATTTAGACAATTTCCTGTAAAATTTGCCTTTGCTATGACCATCCATAAGTCTCAGGGCCAAACGCTTAAGCGTGTTGGCATTTTTTTTTACCTGAGCCTGCATTTGGACACGGTCAACTTTATGTTGCCTGTTCAAGAGTTCGTGAAAGAACGGACGTAAAATTAAAAATAATTGAATGTCCTCTGCAAGGCGAGCTTAAAAATGATGGAAAGATCTACACAAGAAATGTTGTGTACAAAGAGATCTTTGACATGTGAATTAACATTTCATTATTTAAATCACCTTTGTTGATTGAGCTAGCGGTGAGCTCTTAAGAGATATATCGCCAGTGGTTTCCTTCATTGCACTCTACTCTAAGCAATTAAGCAAGTAGAAGGGGGGAAACCCCGTGGGGCAATAAGCAAAGGGACGTCCTCGCCGCCTGCCCTGGGTCATTCAGTTTAAATTAGCAGACACCTTTGCATAAATCATTTTAAGTACAGTTTATAATATCTAGAGCAGCGGTCATTTCGTATGACCGCTAGGCTTTCTAGTTAAATATATGCATATAAATAAATATAAATAAATAAATAAGTAAAGAAATAAATAAATAAAAGCTTACAGTATACACATACTTTTATCTAAATGGATTTTCTTTTAGGGTGAAAATCAGTTACAATTACAGGGACAATAATATGATAACAAATTTAAGACTAATAATTAAATTGAATGGTTAATGTCAGATCCAGAAATATAGTGAAAATATAAATCCCAAATCTATTTCAAATCAAAAAATATCACTTTAAAGAATAATCTCTATGTTCATTACTCAAGACTAAATACAAAACATTTGAATATTTACTTATTTAGTAATAATGCTATAAAAATAAACTAACCTTTTGTTTTTGTGCCTGAAGTTAAACATTCGCCAGTTAACGCAAGTATGGAACTTCATTCCTAAACTTCGTTTTATATATAGGTAGTGATTTCCGTGTCTTATTGAGAATTTCGGAAGCTGTCAAATTTCAGAATGTAGACAAACTGCTGTCTCTAAAGAGAACATATGCTAGTGACAACGAGAATTAAAAATATATATTTTTACCAGCGTGAAACTCCATTTTTAAGGCTCAGTAGCGATGATTTTGACGCTTGAGGAATATTTCCGTTAAAGTTAAAAATTTACGATTTTATCTCGTTTCGTCTGAAATAATGTGTATCAGACCAAGGCGACGAGGGGGAGTTCTCATTATAATATTCAAAATTTCTTTCTCCGAAGCAGTTGGTGTCACTCCTTTGTTAATTTTTTATTGTTATCTAAATTAATGCTGAAATAGTAAGATGATCCTGAGGATATCTTAAAAATACAAATAGTATAAAAAAATAAAAATTAAAAAAAATCTAAAATGTTTCAGATTTTAAATTACGTCCAAAGGGGCGTTTTTTAACATTTTGTGTGTTACCTTTCTTTATTAAATATCATGTTCTTCGCACTTAAACCATAACATCCAGTTCAACAGCAATATCGGAAAATAGTTTTAAAATGAGCATGTCTTAAGAATTTCGGATACAGAGACTCACGCTCTGGAGATAAAAATGTTTTTTCTGCGCAACGTTGCCATTGCTCGCTTTGAAATCCTTTACTTGGTTAATCAAAATTCGTTAAAGTTTTGCAAAATAGGAAATCGATCATAAAACAAATTCCAAATTTCAAATTTGGTCTTCCACATGCCCATATTCGTTGGAGAATTACGTCATTTAAAATTCGATGGCTCTGTGTACCGTTATTTTATCACAATGCAAGAAATATACATACATTTATGCAGATTTTTCATTATTTAATTTCTTAAAATATAATGCAGGATTCTAACATTTTGTGGCAACAGTTTGAAAGGTGAACCGACATTTATAGGAGTCCGACGCAAAATGCCAAAACGAAATAGTCTTTCTGGACTCAAGTCCTTTTGAACTAATAATTAAAGCGTTATTCTTAATTTAAGTTATAATTATGACATACCTATATTTATCTTAGACACACACACATATATTTATATAAAACAAATGATTGGTTGAAATTTGCAGTAGCTTCTTAATTCTTCATTTTCATTTGGATATTTCTCCTTTCCATTCTTTACATAATGATGATGACGTAACAAGTTCGGAACTTAAATTCAAAATTTTCACTGGATATATTAATATATAGAAAAGCTGAAGGTAGATGACGTGTTATACTTTAAAAAGCATGCAGTGTAATAGATCTAAATATTCCTTTTTATTTGAACTGACATTTGCGATTAGTGAGATAAATAATTTGGCTTCCTAATCGTGCCTGTTTCAAAACATCTATATTCTTTTTTCAGCTCTTTTTGGTAAGAAGAGAAGCAGTAAACAGCAATCGGGCTAAGCCAAGAAGCAGGAACGAGGTGCGCAGTTATGAAATATGGAGACTTAGTTTAACAAAAGAAAGGTTTTTGTTTTATTTATATATAATATTAGGAACAGAGACAACAAACTTTCAAAACATTTATAACACTCTATCTTGGTGCTGCTTTATTTAGATGCGTCTAAAATGCATCAAATATTATTTGTAATACATACGTAAAATCAATTTATATACTGGAAACTAGTAGCGAATTTGGGTAGTTTTTCTTGATCTCTAACTTTCACAGTTTACTTTTGATAGCACACTTTTTCCAGAATCATAAGTTGTCTGTTTTTTTTTTTTTTTTTTTTTTTTTTTTTTTTTTTAAATTTCCATTGTTTTAGTGCTTTGTTTAGTTTTCTCCCCCCGCAAAAAAGTGCTGCAACTTTTTTGACTAACAAAAACTTCCGGTAATAAAAAAAGCTTCTAATCAACTCCTGGTCTCCAATAATTCATTACTGATGATCGTTGGGGGGGGGGGAATAATTTCATGATCAGTAAGTTAGTAATCGAAAAAAGGTCTTGAATCCTTTCGGCAAAGAGGGAAATTTTCTGTTTTTGATTTCACCGCTTAGCTCATTCTCTAAAATTTCTAATATGAAATAAGTTTTTTTATTTTTAATGAAGGGATCAAACTATCTTTTAATGTACTGAAAACTTTGGAACGAACATTTTATTGATGCCCATTCATTATACGTAATAATTGCATTATTAGCCCAAAGAGCGTTAGCCCAGAAGGGCTATTAATTTCGTTTTGGCATTTTGCGTTGGTTCACTATAAATATCGGTTCACTTTTCAAATTGTTGCCAGCAAATATTATTGCCCTGTATTATATTTAAAGAAATCAAATAATGAAAAATCTGCATAATTGTATGCATGTTTCTCGCACTGTGAAAAATCGACGATACCTAGAGACATGAAATTTTGAGTAACGTATTCCTCCACTCGAATTTGGGCATTTAAAAGCACAAATTTTCAATTTTCAATTTGTTTCATTATCTATTTCATATTTTGGAAAACTTAAACGAATTTTTGATTAACAAACACAACGATTTTAACGCGAAAAATGGGGACACTGAACGGGGGGGACACTCTTTATTATTTTGATTTACTTATTTTTTATCTTACATATTCCAGTACTTAATCTAATTCAGCTGCTAACTTTGCTCTTCATTGTGCATTTTTTGTTTTAAAAATGTGAGTTATACTGTTCTGGCTAAGACATTTATGCCTTTATATTTAACCTGCATGCAATAATTGTGAAATTATCAACAATTTAAAAGTTTTTTAAGTGCGACTAAGCCACATTTTTTATTACCATGGCAGCCATATTTGTTTACATTTGAAACTTAGCAGAATAGTGGATTTGTTGCCTATCTAGAGAAACTAAGCTTCGCAACAAAAAAGTAACGTCTTGTTTTATTATTGCGATTATGATGTTTAATTCATTCTGGAATTAGAATTTAAGTTATTAGCTTGTTTTGGCGTAGAAATTGTAATTTTAATTTTAAAAATTGTGTTTTTAATTGTTTTAACTGCATTTTGGTGTTTTATGTTTTTCTATAGCTTTCAAATTTTAATGAAAATATTTTGAATTTTTATGTATTTTTTGCCTTGCCGCGAAGTGAGAATTGAATTAATTAGTAGCGCATGCGCATTAGGTAAGCGACGCTGAATCGTCTGCGAAAAACTGTTTCATTCATTTGTTTAATTTCTTTTATACATCGGTTTAGATTTATTATAGTATTTGAATAGAATCTGTAGTAATTCTTCAGATAATATAATTTTGTGCACTCTGAGTTATAAAATGAATGTTAATGCTGTTAAGTAAACGTAGCGCCGAAGTGTCGCTATGATAAATAAGTATAGTGAACTTTAAAAGAGTGCATTTATTCTAGTGTGGTTTATGCGCTATCGACGAAGTAGATTTAATTCAAAATACGTTTACTGTTAATTCAATGTGCTTAAATGAAATGCAGTAAAATTGCGTATAATTTAATATTCCGTACAAGGAAGTCATGTGGTGTTCACATATGATTTTTTATGCGTAAATATAAGTTAGATTACCTTCTTATGAGACTGTAAATCGCCAAGCAGAATTGGCTTTATTTTAAGTATATATTACATGCTTTTTTAAATTTAGTTGTTCCCCTAAAGCAAGCCATAAATATTTTATTGTTATTTTATAGTCATAAGTATTTTATTTTATTACGCGAGTGAGATTATGACTATGAAAAACGTTTTCTCAAATAATATGCTATAGTACTTTATTCTCAGCTATTGGTATTTTATGGTAGTATTAGTTTTTATTTTTTCTACTTCAAACTTATTAATCTCAGATAATAAACCCGTGTCCTCCAGTTTTATATTGGAATTTAATTAATGAATACTGTTGTTCTTTTAAAGCATTCTTGTTAAAGTTTTAGTTGCATTTATTAAATTCGTGACGAATGTTTAAAGCTTTTATTTATTTCGTTATGCGTTTCTGTACAATCTGCACCGTCATTAATTACTTATTTTATGGAATCCGAAAGTTTTATAAAAATGGGTGCTGTCTGCGTTTTTTTATGGACTCATAAAAATATAATATTTTTCCGTTTTTAGTTCCTTGTACGAACTAAAAATGAAGTATTGTAATCGCGAAAAGTTTCAGGCAGCACATTTCAACGAAAATATCCTTTTTGACCGCTATCGAATGCAATTTAACGATGTTTTTGCGGGATATCTGTACGTAAGGACAGAATAAAATACTCTTTTCCTTCAAAAAAATTATAAAACTGCTTTAAAATTAATTCTGAAGAGAATTTTTCATGGCGTCTGTACGAAAGTATCTCGCATAACTCAAAAACGAGTAGCCTCAGAACGTTGAAATTTCGTATATAGGACTGCTATAACATGTAGATGTGCACCTCGTATTTTGGTTGCAATCTGCCGCACCAAACGTATATAAATATATTTATATATATATGCACTCTGTTTCCCGGCTCAGTAATCTCAGTTTCTTTAATCTTATATGTTTGTAAATTGTACATGTTTTGCTTTAAAAATGATTGAATTATGTTGTTCTTATCTTCCGGTTAAGGTTTTTATGCCTTTAGTAAATCTCTATGCAATATTTTTAGAATTATCAACAATTTTAAAGTTGTTTAAAGTGCGCTAAGCCTAATACTTCTCTTGATGGCGGCCATTGATGTTTACATTTGAAACAGGAGACTAGTGGATTTGTTGCCAATCTAGAGAAACTTAGCTTCGCAACAACAAAGATAACGCATTCATTTATTATTGCCAATTAAATCATGCTTAATTCTTTCTGGAATTTTTCTAGGAAATAAGTGTTTAAAATTTACTTCGCCAATTTTTAATATAGATTTTTGAGTTTTTATGTATTTTTTGCCTTCTCGCGAAGTGAGAACTGAATTAATTAAATGAGAAATACCCAATCGTCTGTGAAAAACTGGTTTCTTTTTTGTTTTATTTGCTTAATTTCTTTTATACATCATTCTAGCTTTATTATAGTATTTGAATAGAACATGTGGCAACGATTAGATAATTCTATTCCTTAAATGATATAAATTTTGTGCATTATGAGTTATAATATGAACGAAATATATAAGTTAACTGTTATATAATTATTTGATTATATAACAGTTAACTTAGTTTCCGTTATATAATTATTATATAAGTTAACTGTTATATAATTATTGGATTATATAACAGTTAACTTAGTTTCTGTTATAATTATATAAGTTAACTGTTATATAATTTTTAATACTGTTAAGTGAATCTAGCGCCAGAGTATCGCTATGGTAAACAACAATATGTATTCTATTGTGGTTTGGTGCGGCGAAGTATTTCCTATTGTTAAGTGGCAATGCAAGGCGTATAAATTTAGTATCCAAATTTCCTCGACCGATCTTCTTGTTGGAATTTAATAAAATAATTTAATCGCCTCTTATAAAATATGTGCAAATAAATATTCATAAACGTCTTTAGAAATTTCAACATAATGGCATACCAGATTGAATTCGTCAGTTACGAAGTCAGGTGCTCAATGCATCTAAATATTCTTTCTTTTAAAAAGTTGCTAAGTTTTGCATTTCAGACGAAATCATGATGTTTTTTTTTAAAAGTTATGGATCTGGTAAAATAAGAAATTATTAGAAATTTTTTTATTTTTGGAAATAAATTAAATTTTTGTGTAACAAAGTGGTTTTGTGTGAAGCAGTTCTACAAAATAAGAAAAAAGCATTTTTATAAAGTACATTTATTGATGGCAACAGACAAGCTGATGTTGATACGCCAATATCACAAAAATTATACACACATTTATTAATGTACAAATTAACATTTCAAAGCCTCAGCTAGATTTTTGTTATCAATACACTAATTTTAAGCACTTCTCGATACCTTAAGAAATTTTAATAGAATAGTTGATTTAAAAAAAACTGAGGATGAATTTATTTACGAATTTTACGAATTCATTTTGACAGAAATATAAATTAAACTATTTAGGCGTTAGTGTTAATTAGGATGTCAAGTATTTTTGAAAATATATAAGCACGTAAAATGCTTTTCATATTAACATATTAATATTTTTAAAACACCTTATATCTTATCTCAAAGCTTGTAATTTGGCATAATCTTTATATTTGAAATAATCATAAGATGTAGAAAAGTTTTCATGCTATGAATTTTCTGTAGCACTGGCATTGCATGAGAATTTCTAGTTTCCACAAATAATGTTCTATCACCCAATATTTTCTTCTAGAAGTAATTCAAAATGTCTCTGTAATACAACAACCTTCTTTGTGTCAAGAATTTATTAAGCAAAATTTTGTATTATACATATCACTGAAACGGTAAGAAATTAAGATGACCTCGCATAAGGCAATACCTTTTAATATGTAAACATAAATCTGCATTTAAAACGGATATGTGAAGCTGATATGTTGAAAGTGTATTAAAAATACATAAATAAATACATAAATAAAGTAAATATCATATCTCGAGGTATGCACAAATATATTTTCTATTGTAATGTAAAATGTAAAATGTTAGCGACAAATAATCTTGACACAGAATTTAGGCTGCTAGGATACGATGGGTTCGTTTTTAATTGTTTTTTAAGGAAAACAACGATAATTACAACCTCATAATTGGTACCAATGAGATATTAACTTGCATTTCAATATTTAACAGTTATTATTCTTATAACCAGTTAAATATTAATCAAAGATCTGCATCAATTGTGGCAGCTTAATATTTCAGGAGTAAGCTGTTAACTATTAGAAATTATTAACTGTTAGTTATTATTATTTCTGTTAGTTAATGCAACAGTTTATTTATTTCTACTGCCCGGTAAAATAACTACTACTTCACCGTTGCTGAAATATTTAAAATGATGATATAGATGATTAACGATTTTAATCAGTCCATGATACTTCATAAATATAATAATGATACTTCATAATATTCATATTTAAATGAAACTGCAGTTCATATTTTGAGCAATTTTACTTTCTTTCGTACGACAAAGGCACAGCAAAAATTTTGCTCAATTACTGGATATTTTTGAAGTTGAAATGTCGCGGATCAACATAAAAATATGAATATTACCCCAAATCAACGTTTGAAAAATCATAAAAATCCAATGGAAATATACTTATCAGGATGACATACAAATGTATAACATATGATCCGCCGCACTCACGCAGATACTTGATGTCAAGAACTTACGAGAGAACGTCCTGGAATCATTGACAAAGACTGAAGATGAATTGGGACCATTTTGTCCGGTATTCTTAAGAGACAAATCATAATGCTCATAGGGAAGACAATAATCACCAACTGCATTTTGAATGGTGTTCTTCTGATAGTAGTTTAGCTATGAGTCCAGCCACGAGGATTTCAGAAACTGAACTTCGTCCTCTTCCACCACCAAAGAGTCCATGGAAGATATGCATGGCTTCAGACGATGATACCAAGAAGAGAATTAGCGGAATTAAAACGTTTGTTAATGTAGAGAACTTCATGGTTGTATGATCGGATTCTTCGGATCCTATAAAGAAAAGAACAACCTTAAATTTAATTAATTAGAATAATTTCATGCAAAGTACCATGCAATTTACATACTATAAATGCAGTAAAATGTCTCATTTTAACCCTTGGCGTAGAATAGCACCTGGAAAAAAAAAAGCGGTATTCTAAACCAAAATCTCATAATTTTAAAACCATAACATACCTCAGTATTGAAATCAATGATAATTACTATCTGTAAGATGATCAACTCAACAAAAGACTGAAGTTAGCTAGAATATTTGACTTTTGGAAGTTTCACAGTAGATTCTTTTAGATTCGATTTTTCCGTGTTATTCAGCAAATAAGCACTTTTTTTTTGGCCATAACCTATCAATAATTTATGTTATAACTTTTACATACAATTATGCACAAATGCATATTCCTTTAATGGACTTGGTTCGACTTGGCATGGACTCAACAAGTCGTTTCGAAATAAGTTATAGCAGAAGACTATGCTCATTTACTGCATGGCATGCTTAATCGATGGAATGCTTACCGATTAAAATGGCATTACTTAGCGATTGAAGCATCTATAGAGAAAAATTAGGGGATTTACGTTCGAAGTGAGACGAAAAAAAGTAGTTACTCAAAACTGTACAGCATTACTTAATTATTTTGAATCGAACACCAAAAATACATTGAGGCATAGTGATTGTAAGCTGTAAATGTGGTCTTTGGTTACTTTAAGCTAAATAAGATTATAACTTAATTCCTGTGATATTTACTAATCTATTCATTGTGTATTAATTATCTACTATACTTTTGTTTATTTGTGAATTATTTTCTATTGTTTATACTTCGCATTATATTTCTACGTTACGCTTACTGTCCAATCGTAACCAAGAGCTCATTTCAGTTCTTCTGATATCATCAACAGTGCCACACACTGGTATGTTATTCTTAGACGGGAAAGTAGTTAGTTACTCTGACTGCTGCATGGAAGTGGCCGTGTTCGAACCTCAGAGAAGACATGGATGTAATTTATCCGTCCCTTCAAAGGAGGAAACAGTGGCCCACCTGTTAGGCTCCTTCATAATAAAGAGACCACTGATTCCAGGCTTAATACTGGCCAGTGCCTATAAACAGCTAGAACCCGTTTTTGGTTTTAACAATCATGATTTGAGAATTGTAATATTTCGTAAACATTCGGTTAGGACTGCCAAAGATGACAACTCGATTCCTGCTAGGTATTTCTCGCGTTAGGTATGATATAAGGTATATCTCCCGCCTTCTTAGCATGCCTTCGTGGTGTAGTGGTCAGCACACTCGGCGCTATTCGAGAAGTCCGAGGTCGGGTCCCGGCGAGGGCATTGCTCATTTCTTCAGTTTCCTGCTTCCAAAAAAAATTAAATGTCTCTACAGTGGCGTCATCTCAACTAAAAAGGTGGTGGATGATGATTCTCCACCAGCAAGATTTGGCGATTGGATTCCCTAATCCCCAGTCTCCCTTTAAAAGGGGAAGTATATAAAGTATTTCTGCTGCCTTCTTAGTACACTGAAGTGACAAAAGTCATGGGATACCTCCTAATATTTTGTCGGTCCTCCTTTTTGCCCGGCGAAGTGCAGCAACTCGACTTGGCATGGACTCAACAATCGTTGGAAGTCCCCTGCAAGAATATTGAGCCATGCTGCCTCTATAGACTCCATAATTGTGAAAGAGTTGACGGTGCGGGTTTTGGGCACGAACTGACCTCTCGATGATCCCATAAATGTTCGATGGATTCATGTCGGGGCGATCTAGGTGGCCAGATCATTCGCTGGAATTGTCCAGAATGTTCTAACCTAGTCGCGAACATTGTGCCCGGTGACATGCGCATTGTCATCCATAAAAATCCATCGTTGTTTGAGTACGAAGGTCCTGAATGTCTGTAAGTGGTCTCCAATAGCTGAAAGTATCCATTCCAGTCAATGATCGGTTCAGTTTCACCAGAGACCAAGTCCATGCCATGTAAAAACAGCCCAGACCATTATGGAACCACCACCAGCTTGACATGCCTTGTTGACAACTTGGTCCATGCTTAGTGGGGTCTGCGCCACACTAACCATCAGCTCTTACCAACTGAAATCGGACTCATCTGACCAAGCCACGGTTTTCCATTCGTTTAGGACCAACCGATATGCTCACATCCCACGAGAGTCGCTGCGGCGAGTCGTGCTGTCAATAACCACCGAGTCGGTCTTCTGCTGGCATACCCAATGAAACAATTTCGTCGCACTGTCCTATCGGACACGTCCTCGTACGTCCCCACATGATTTCTGCGGTTATTTGAACGCAGTTTTGTTTGTCTGTGAACATTGACAACTCTACGCAGACGTCGCTGGTCTCGGTCGTTAAGTGCAGGTGGTCGGTCACTGCGCTGTCAGTGGGATGTTACGCCTGAATTAGATACTCTCGGCACACTCTTGACACTGTGGATCTCGTAATGTGAATTCCCTAACGATATCCGAATGGAATGACCAGCGTCTAGCTCCAACTACCATTTCGCGTTAAAGTCTGTTAATTCTCGTCGTGCGGCCATAATCACGTCAAAGCCTCTTCACATGAATAACTTGAACACAAATGAAAGCCCTGCCAAAGCACTTCGCATTTATACATTTTCTACGCGATACTAGTGCCATCCGTATATTTGCATATTGCTATCCCATGACTTTTGTCACTTCAGTGTATGTGTGTAGTGGTCAGCACACTCGGCACGTATTCGAGAGGCTCGAGGTTCGATTCCCGGCGAAGGCATTGCAAATTTTCATCTCTCCTGCTTTCAAAAATTACCTAAAGTCTTTACAGTATGAAGCCGGTAGGTGACAGGTGACGGAGAAAGGAGGCACCTGATGTCTAGCAGAAGTAAGCAGGGGCATGCCCCTCGTTCTCCACTATTTAGCACTTGAAGAACTTAAGGATTTAGGTGAGAAACATGACCTTACAGGGTCTAAGTGGCTGTACAATGGCTACAGATTTAGGAACAGAGTGTGAAGAAGCATATTTCAATGCCAGAATATGAAACAAAGAATATAAAGCGTAAACGTAATACAATAAGTGAGCAGTGCAATATAAAAGTACATTAAGTAGTAAATAGTAATAAAATAAATATATAGTTCAATAAAAAAGCAGTACAATATTAAATACGTGGTGCAATGAAAAAGTAATACAGTACAAAAGTACATTTAGTAGACAGGTGATGGATTATTAGGTATGTAAGATACAGCAGATAAAACTGTCTAAAGCATTTTGTAGAATGATATTGATTGCAAGGCGTTTTAACTTCCATTCTATGCCTTAAGCATTTCTCTCCTTCCAGTCGTCAACTATGTAAATGGTTTTCAAATGGTAATATTAAACAAAACAATAAGAAACAAAAGAACTTAAAGGTTCTGCTGTAATTTTAAAATACACCTAAGCTATATTAGTGACTTTTTCCGTTCCTTGTATTTATTCATCCGAAATCAGCACGCAGTTGCTTTTTATCATATAAAGACAGTATTGGTTGAGACTGAAATGCTATATTTCATTGCATGGTTTCTCCTTATTACTTACCAGACTACGTGATTCTCGGCAATGAAGCACGATTCTCAACGACGAGCGTTTGAAAATTGCTCGTGTAGACTTCCAACTGCGAAATATTCAAGAGTGGCAAATTGCATGTTGTTCGTTACGAAGATGTCAAGAGATAAATCAAAATTGACTTCAAATTTTCATCCATTCATAAGGGGTATCAAATAATTTCCGGAAGCTTTATGAACAGTTCATAAACGAAATTTTTCGTTAAAAATCTTATGAACATTTCATAAATGAACTTCAGCATTGAAAACTTTGTGATAATTTCCTAAAATAACTTTTTCGTTATTCTGATTCATATGCTGTGAAAGTTTTGATGATTAAAAGAATTCTATTAATTACACAGTAGACGCAGTTTTACCTCAACGAGAACAGAATTCGGAAGACGCAGTGAATGACAAACCCTGTAACTTTTATCAAATTTTAAATTTTACTTATGGCGTGTTTTTCCTCCAGTTCGGTTTATATTTTAAATTATCTTAAATTTTATTAATTAAAAAATTATATTAATTGCATAGTAAACACTCGAGAAGACCACTGTGAATGACAAGCGCTGCAACTTTATCTAATTTAAAATTTAACATTGGCGTATTTCTCTTCCAATTTGGTTTATATATTTGAATTAATTTAATGAGTTTTATAATTAAAAGAATTATATTATTTATATAGCAAACGCAGTCTTACCTCTAAGGGAACAGAATTCGGAAGACCACTGTGAATGACAAGCGTCGTAAACTGAGACGTCCAGTTTCTAGTGTTCGCTTTTATATTAGAAGTCATACTTTTCTGAATAATACAAATTGCCTTATTTAGAGATAGAGGACAATGGTCGACGAAACAATTTACTTACATTTGTTTTTCTCTTTATGCTGAATTTCTTTGTATCTTGGTCACTGAACCTTGCCGACTGGTAAACACATCATCAAACTTGATCGAGTCGTACTATCATAGAACTCACGCAATAGTACTTTAGCAGATTTCCTTATTTATCCTAGAAAGTTGTTCCTTTTCATTGCTAAGTTCAAGGGACATTTTATTAACTTAATTTTCGTCTAGTTGGATACTTGTTGAAACTGCATTCGTTTATTTATGGCATATCCGTTTGCGGAAATTGGATTAACTTGACTATTTTTCTGCAATGAATAAATTTTCATTAAAGCAATTTTTTGAATACCTTTCTAGGAAGAGTAGCACTTTTTTCTCTTGTATAAGGAAGAATACAGATCAAATTTTGTTGCCATTTATTCCACTTGTCAACACTTCATTGAAATATTTCAGCGGTCCATGGAAGTGGACTCCCGGTTAGGTTTCGCACCATTAATTTTTGTCAGCTACGTGAAATTGATCGAATGAAACAACAACTTACTAATAACCGAAAACTATCCTTAAAGAAACATACTGTTTGAAATACCTCGAGTTTTGTGATGGTATGAAGTTTCTTTAACTAGTAACTGCGTATTTTCTGATACCAGAAATGCTATGTAAATCATAACCCAAAAAAAAGCAGAAGTTTTTAATAGTTCATTCTAAATCATGATTAGAAATTTGTGAGCAAGGATTCATGTTTACAATACCTTTAATGTGCTTTCCATAATCTATATAATTTTCTATAACTTTTACAAGATTTTGAAATTTTCTCGCGTGCTATCTATCAATGTCACATTACGCGCTCAATTGAACTCTTACATGTGGCTAATTATTATCCAACTGCCGCCCAACCGAGATAGTAGTTAGTGACACTGACTGCCATGCCGAAAGGGCAGGATTCGAATCCCGTAGAAGGCATGGATCTTTTTAAATGTATAGTGTCCCAAATTGAGCTTTAGCCATAAAAGAAGCTATCCTATGGGCTCATCAAAGGCATTTAACAAACGTTACCATCTATAGTGATAGCCAAGCTACAATAAAGCTGTTGATGATGCAAAAAACCAAATCATCAACAATACAAGATATCTATGCCTTAATATCACAGCACAATAAGACGTCTATAAAAAAGTGGGTAAAAGCGCATGCATGACAAGCCTAAAATTGAAAAGGCAAATAAATGCACTTGCAAGGGATGCAGCTTAAGACCCATTTCTACCATCAATCAATGTCCCATTCCCAAAATCGTATGCGAAACATATGCTCAGAAAAATTACATTAAAGAAATGGCAGGCTGAATGAGAAAATGCAGAAGTAGGTAGAAGACTTTTTAACTTCTATAAAATACCCACATAGCTTCTTTATCAACATCTTTTTATCTGGACATGGTCCTTTCCCCACGTACTACTTTGCACGAAATTTGAGCGCTCAGACAAGTGCGTATGTGGGGAAAAGGGAGATCCAGAACATTTTATTTTCAAGTGCCAGTTCACAAAAGAATTACACTGCAAAAAAAAAAAAGGACACAAATTAAGCCTGAGTACATTAATTGCTTACCTAACGATCCCTCAATTACAACAAAAGATTTCCTTGATTATGAAGAAAATTTTCTCATATAAAAGAGACGACATATGTCAAGACGCTATCACGTCTGAATCAAAATCATATATTCTATAATTTACAAAAATAATGCAAGATTTCAGAAGTGTTGCAAATGCCTGAAAGAGGATAAATATGCTAGGAGTTGTTTTAACAAAATAATTACGGTAAGAACATATCAATGTACTAGGAGATGAAAAAAACAATTGTAATATTTATATCATTAAAAATTGTTTAATATGATTTGAATTAATTAGATATATTAATGTAAATGTACTAATGTATGTTTGATGTAATTATGATATATTAATTTACAAAAACAATGTAAGATTTCAGAAATGTTCCAGTTGTCTGTAATATGATAAAAATGAAAGGAAATCTATTAACGAGATAATTGCCCTAGGAATACGACAATGTACTAGGAGGTACACAAAATATTCTACAATAACTAATCCCTTAGAAAATGTTTAATCTAATTTGATGTAATTAAATATACTAATTTAAATGTATTGTTTGTATGATATATTAATGTATGTTTAAAGTAATTAAATTATATTAATCTGTCATAATCTAACTTTTTTTAATCGATTAATTGTATAATAATAATTGTATATCGTGCTTTAGTAATTGCATGTTCAAAACGAAAGTCTGGAATTAATGTAAAGTATTTCTGTCAATGTTATGTCACGATTCATTCCTGAACTGCTTGATGAGTATCATGGCCTTTTACTCATGAAGGCCAAAGGTCAAACACGGGTTGAACTTCAAGTATTCAGCGATATTAATTTCTCGATCTCTGCTGGAGCCACGCATTTGAAATGATTAATGCCAGACTTTTACCATTAAACTCTGAAGAAAAAATAACAGAATCATCAAGTAGTTATATATCTCCAAGACTTAGGTCTTCATATAAAAGTAAACAACCAGATTCAGCTTTTTAAAAGGATATTTGACTTTGTTTTGGTCAAATGTGTTTTTAATACAGTGTAAAATTATGTTCGCATATAGGCGGAATAATTGATAGTCCAAAGGGGCTTTGTCCCTGAATGACTATTGTTTTCGTTTTGCGATTTTGCGGTGAATCACTATAAATGTCCGTTTCGCTTTTCAAACTGTTGCCACCCAATGTTAGAGTCCCGCATTATATTTGAAGAAGTTAAATAATGAAAAATCTGCATAAATGTGTGGATATTTCTCGCATTGCGATAAAACAACGGTGCATAGAGCCATCGAATTTTGATTGATGTAATCCTCCTACGAATATGGGAATGTGGAAGACCAAATTTGAAATTTGGAATTTGTTTTATGATTGATTTCATATTTTGTAAAACTTTAACGAATTTTTCGAGTAACGAACTCCAACGATTTCAAAGGCGAGCAATGGCAACTCTGTACGGGGGGGGGGATACTTTTTTATCTTCCAACGCGTGGAATCTGTGTATCGGTAATTCCTAAAGACATGCTAAATTTTAAAATTATTTTGCGATACTGCTGTTTAATTAAATTTTCATGGTTTAAGTGCAAAGAACATGATATTTAATAAATAAAGGTAACACACAGAACGTTGAAAAAACGTCCCTTTGGGCGAAATTTAAAATCTGAAACCTTTGAGATTTTTTTTTATTTTCGAATAAATTTTCATTACGATTTATTACTAGCAAACGAATTAAACATATTTCTAGTTTATAAACTTTTATACTAAGACTGCGAAATATGTCCTCAGTGGAAACGTCGTCCCAAGAAAATAGCATACAAAGCGTAGAAGAAATATACAAACTCCACCCGATGATACACTTAAAAAACTGATCGGTGTTAAAATATGGCTTTCAACATTTTTGGACGGGCAGTTTGTTTGACGCTCCAAGTCAGGGATGTTATATTTTCAAGTGCTTCAAGGTGTGTTTACAGTCGCGTAGTGTCCTGAAATCCTATTTCAAAACGAACGCAGAATTATTTTCTGCACTTTGTTATATCGTTTGCGCAATTCCGACATTACGAATTCGTTAATTGAATGTATAGTGAAAAAACAGTCTGATGTTTCAACGCTGCGTGCATATCGATAACATAGTAAATAATAGCGTTTAAATTATGATTTTAATTTTTGTTAAAATCTTCTTTTTTCTCTTCTCGCACATTTCTCTCCTAGAGCTGGAATTCGACAATTTCTTTTAATTGTCATACCTGAGCAAATCCAGACATTTCTATTTAAACCTACTCGGTTGTGTGATTTATTTATTTTGTAGATCACGAGCTGCCAGAGAGGGTTTAGAAGTATTATTTGTATGTCCTATGCCTCGTTGTCTTCCAGTATCGCATGCGAGATCTTCCCCTCTGTACTAGAATGTAATAATCCGTATTATTTTGTCATTGAAAAAAGATCATATTTTCTCAGTTGTGGCCAATGTTTATCAACTTTTGCACATTAGCAGGCAGATACATATAAGTTATTTCTCTCAGACTTAAATCTTCACTAGCTATCGAGAGGACATGGCATGAAATAAAAACATCTTTTTGGAAATGCACTTATAAAAATACGCTGAAAGTATTTGTGAAACTTTTATTTTTGCTTAAATATTGTTAATTACTATATAATAGACTAAGGCTTGATGAAAAATGGAAATTTAAATCTCATGCCTTTCTCATCCATTACGCTTTCTGCACTCCCAAAATGATTTTCATTCAACCTGAACATATGCATCGCAGTCAACAACACAGTTATACCCTAATTTACTATTTATTTTTCTTTGATTGAGAAAAATAATGCCCTCCAAATTTGGGAGAGGAAATATTTTCGTCATTGGGAAACATAAATCTTGATCACGAAATATCGCGTGATATGGAAACAATTCCTTATATTGAAAACGAAAAAGCATAAATTTCCTAACTGGAGCATAATAACTTTTGACGGGGATCTCGTAATGTATAATTAAATGAGACTAAATATAAATATCAAGAATTTCCATTATTTCACGCAATTTAATTTAGTAGCATAGCTAGAAGCTATAGTTTGAGCCTATTATCTCATAGTAAAATATTTCAGTTTTGTTTGACTGCAAATCAAACAACCATTGTTTGTTCCTATTAGAAAATGGATAGGTAAAGAGTTTAAATTAAAAAGATTCTGTTTTCTTCGGATCCAAAAGACTGGATCTTAATATTTGTTGACAAATACCACCTATTTCGTAACATTTTAATTAAGAATTTAATTAACATTTTAATTTAAGAAATTTGGTAACATTTTAACAAGCATATGGATATCGCCATTCATTCATAAATTGATGTTGAGGTAAT